TCCAGTTAATGATTATTTAAATGATATATCAAGCGCAATTAAAAATATTTCAATTGATAATTATATTTTGAATAAACATGTTGACAAATTAATTTATTTTATAATATTTAATATCTGTATTATTAACGTAACACATTTAGTTGTATATACACAATATAATAATACATATTTAATTGTATGTGCATTGTTATTAAATACAATTGTATTTATAATATATTTTATGTGCATTATAAATGTAATTCACAAAAAACGTTTAATAATACGAAAGGTTTTAACAAAATTAAATGAATGGAAAATTATAATACACGATAACATAGCTATATATCAGTATTAAACATTGATTTTTAATTAAAATATGCAATATTTGTTAAATGTTAACAATTAGAGATCATTGATATTGTAAACACCTATCATTGACAACAATAGAAATCCGTAATGATGTTAATTGTTTCTTGTACATTTTTAAATGATAGCTTCACGCTTACAATACTAATAATTTTATTAACATGCGTGTATAAATTTTATTTATTGGCATTTCTGCTATGTTATATCGTAAAGATCTCACCATTTTACAAGATTTTAAATAATGGCATGAAACGACTTTAGCTAAACGTATGCCATTAAATAGCCTTGTTTAAATTATAATAAATAAATTTGTTTGTTATTATCAATAACTTATTAATTATTTTGTGTAAAAATGACAAATCAATAAAATAAATAAAATCATGTTTTAAACAAGTAAGTTTGTATAATATTGACATTTATTAAAATTAATTTTGATTTATTTAATTAAATATTAAATAATTATAAATGCCAACTATATTTTGCTTTCCATTAAATCTAAAAATGGATAATCAGGGTGATTGCGATATGGTGGAATTTTATTGATCCTGGGTTCCTGAGCAATGGTATTAATATTCGACATATCCTGGTCATTTATCTCAAAATTGAATACGTCAAAATTTTCATCAATATGTTGACCTTGTCCACTTTTAGGTATAGCCACGAGTCCCCTCTGTAAGTGCCACTTTATGACTACCTGTGCCACACTCTTACGATACTTGTCAGCAATTGCATTAAGTACCGGCTCACCTACCAGTGCTCTACCGGTTTCCTAAAGGCATATAAGCCGTGACTGTAATGTTATTTCCGCGACAAAAGTCAATTAGTTTTTGTTGATTAAAATGTGGATGCACCTCGATCTATTAATTAAAATATATATTATAATTAATTTATTTTACTTACATTTATAGAAATATATTACTAAATTTTAAGTATATTATAGTTTTCAAAAAAATTATTTTTTATATAAAAATACCTGATTAACAGCAGGCTTAATTTGTGAATGTTTTATAAGTTCAGTCAATTGGTGTTCATTAAAATTGGAAACTCCTATCGACTTAACCAAACCGGCATTGCGTGCATCTTCCAGTCCCTTATATGCCTCCAAATATGTCACATCCCTGTCCCAGGTCCTGGGTATAACAGATCCATTTGTGTAGGTCGGGTGTAAATCATCACCATCCTTTACGCCAGTAGACCAGTGCACTAGTGCCAGGTCTACGTGTTTAATGCCCAGGTCCTATTAAAATATCAAAATATTAATACTAATATATAATGTATATACAAGTTAACTATTTATATTTTTATATTGTGATTTTTTTTGCAACCAAATCCCGGCCAGTTGGTCAGCCTACCTGTAGCGATAGTTTTATGCTCTCGATCGCCCGTTCCCTGCTATGAAAATTATTCCACACTTTTGTGACGATAAACAGGTCTTCCCGGTCAACCATACATGAGCTGAACAGCTCTTTCAGTGCCGCACCGATAGCTTTCTCCGTGTCATACATGTAGGCGCTGTCGATGTGTCGGTACCCAACCGTAACGGCCTTTTTGATGGCTTCTATAGCATCCGCTTGACTACTGTTCCCAGTTTTGGTTTTCCTGTCCGGTGCTAATAGCCAGGTCCCGTAGCCCAGCGCCGGTATCATATTACCATCATTTAGTTTGTGTTGTATATTATCTATTAAATTGTCTGTGATTTACAAAAATTTCCTACTTATTGCTCATATAGTAGTATTGAAAATAACTTGAAAACTAGTGCATCTAGGGTATTTATTTTTAAAATTCAAACTTACTTGCACATAGGTGGTCAATTAATTCAAATACTAAAAATATTAAAATAATAAATTTGGTCATTGTTATTTTTAAAAATAGTATTATGAACTAATTTTGCAAGTGAACACCTTTACTAAAGTAATTAAATAAATAATTATAAAACTGGTAGATGTTGTTAAAACGTCACAATTTAAGTAACTTATGGTATGATATAATGAATATTTTATTATTTCAATATAAACTTATTATATAATAATGAAAGTAATGATTGAATTGTAATATTATAGATGAATTACATTATAGTATACAAACTTGGTTGTGCACCGGTAGTATTATATTTCTTTCTCTCCAATCTATAAAGTCGAAGCAAGTGCAGATTGATACAAACAAACTAATAAGCATAAATAGTTTACAGATGGCCATGATTATATTTTGTTTAAAAACTATTATAACTATATTTATTTGTTAAATTTTATAAATTTATTTTACACGAATGTTCTTCTTTTATATAAAAAGTATAATCGTTTTTTTATTAAATGTTTACCAAGGTTAATATGACATCAAATTTAACTTTCTCAATTAATATGCAATTGTTGATAACAAATAACCATCAAGTGCTATTATCATAATACTTATATATTAAAGTGATTAGGGGTAATTTCTTTGTTAATAATAAGGTGTGCCCCTATCTATATAATGTGTTATTATGTGCTGGAAACAGATATTGAACATTTAGTAGAATTTATTTTACTTAATAAAAAGGATTACAAAAGATTTTTATTTTAATTAATTATTAGAAATG